TCAGCCTAGCTCACAGCAACCTCAAACTCCTGGGCTCAAGTGATCCTCCTGCCTCAGCCTCCTGAGTAGCTGGGACTACAGGCATGCACCACCATGTCTGGCTAATTTTTTCTTTTTTTTGGTAGAGACAGGGGTCTTGCTGTTGCTCAGGCTGGTCTTGAACTCCTGAGCTCAGGCAATCCTCCCGCCTTGGCCTCCCAGAGTGCTAGGATTACAGGCGTGAGCCACCACGCCCAGCCAAGATGTAAAACATCTTTATCCACTCACTCTATCAGTTCTTCCCTTAGGCATACAAACTGCCACAGGACTGTTAGGTAGGGGCCAGCGGGAAAGGGAAACAGGTGCAGAGGGGAGAGGAGGGAGATCCAGTAGAGATACTGTTCTGACCAATTAGAGGAGGGTAAAAAAAACCCCACAAACCTAAGAGGTGGCCCAATCACAGAAACATACAACTTGGGGCATGTCAGATGAGCTGACAGTGACCTTAGGTGAACAACTCAAATCTGACAGGACTATCCAACTACCATGTCATTCCTCTCCTATCTCTTGGAAGAAGCAGTTATATATTGTTTCAAATTGCTATCTTCTTAATCCTCCTTTTGGAGCTCTCCTCTTGTTTGCAGAGGGTTAGAAGCTGAGCAAATCAGCTTAGGCTGTGAGTGTGGGCTTGTAGGCTCTTGTTGCTAGCTTTCCTTTTGCTCCTCTAGCCTAAGGGCAATAGGGGCTTCCTGCACTTACTGACCTCTGGGAAATGTCACCTTTTCTTACAGCCTTTTCAATGCTAATATACAAATTCCTCTGGGTAAAATACCTAAAGTGTTCTTCTTTTCTTTACTGAATATCAACTAATATGTCTTCCAAATTCAACTTATCTCCTCCGTTGTAAAGAAGTTGCACTTGGAAAATTACTAACTTCCTCATGCCAAAATTAAAGGGACACATCTCTATCATAGCACAAATCATCTATTTTTTCTTTCTCCCTTCTTCCCAAATTGATCATTTCTCTCCATCCCTAAAATCCTGCCTCCATAGCCATTCTTACTTCTAAAAATAATAAAAAAGCTAAATTTGAGCCCTCCAATTCCATTTTACTCAATACTGCCTTGGTGAGTGCCATTTTTAGATGGAAAAGGGTACAGCTAGTTCTTACGTGATCCCACCTCAGAGTCTAACGTGCCCCACACACTGCTTAACAGAGGAATCAGCAATCTCCTCTTTCCCACTTCCCAATCATTCATGACAAAGAATGGTTTTCATTCCAGCCCCAAACTCACCCTCTTCAAACAACTCCACCAATTTAGCAACATATGGGTTTTTATCATCATCCCCTTCAATCAACACACACTGCCCCACCTGGATGTGAATCTCAGTTGAATCACCTTCTACTTTCACACATATTTCTCTAGAAAGCAACAGAGAAACACATTAAGAAATCACTTAGGGTAGGCCAAGTTCTTTAGATCCTTTGGGCACAAAGGAAAGTGCTCTCCAACCCAGAAACCCCCTAAATAATTTCTCTCTGCTGCCCAACTTTCCTACTGGGAAAACAATTCACCCAGTTACATAAGAGAGTAGACAATGGGTTGAATGGATTGTGTTAGTGTGAGTGATGACTCCAAAGGCCTCAAAATGAACCCTAATTCCACTCAGTTATTGACCAAGAACAAGACAGGCTTCCCAAGGCTATAGAGCTGCCCCAAAAATATATCAAATTGTTAGGAGATTTCCAGGGCTAGGAAGGACATGGTACCATTTATCAAAATATCATAAAGAGATACTCACCTTAAGTAGATATGACATTATCACACATATCAAATTTATTAACCTCTCATAATTTTGCCCCTATCACTAGGGGCAAAATTTATGCTACCATCTTCTTGAATTAGACAGAACCCCTCCTTACAATCAGTTCATATCTATTATCCTTTAATCATCGATGTGCAGTAATTAGAACAATCTAGCTTGAGAAAACTATATTTCCAGGACAACCAAAAGACCCCATCACTCACTTGTAGGTTTGGTGGCGCAGTTTTCGATCCAACAATGGCCTGCCGACCCATGAGTAAGTCAGTCTGGTCTTCAGCCTTGTCGGGTAGTGCGCCATGGCTCCTGTGGAGAAGTCCTAACTCTGAATTACTAGGACAATGCTCTGATGGGTTTTCAGCTAGTCACTCCCTGCCTTCAATGAGTTCAGCCTTTTTTTCTGTCCCTGATGTATTCCCACACATTTTAGACTGAGAAAACATTTTCTGTGAGGAAAAAGTCAGCTCTATGAAGATTACACACAGGCAACTTAATATCATCTGTGTTTACCTCATACTATGCCTTATCTTTTCCTATCCAGGGAAACAGGAGGGTCAACTCCTAAGAAAAGAAACTGTAAATGTTTACAAGTATTTATTAGGAACAAGGCACAATAGGTGTGAAACATCTACTGATGTGAAATTATTATAAAAGACAGTGACACAGTGGTTGTAAATGGCTTCACAACACTTACACTCCAGACAGCAATAAAATATAAATTCAATAAAGGACAACTAATACTTCAAAGAGCCCAGTGAAACTACTGAAATTAGAAGACCAGGTCTTCTGGCTGTTCAGGAAGGAAGGGCTTCCTAAAAGGGTTTCCTAATATTGAATAATTAGTAGATATTGATAAGATCAAATGAAATGAAGGATTCCAAGATTTAGAGGAAAAAACATATAAGCAGCATTTGGGGTAATGGTAATGGGTTTTATCAAGTGCATCCATTAGAAAAAAATTATCAGTGTTACTAACCAGTACTGCCCTGGCAGTTGGAAGGGGTATTTTTCTTTGCAGCTAACAGGTCCTAGATATGAGTATTGCTGAAAAGAAAGGGTTGTAGTAAACTACATGGAAAAAAAGACATTTTTATTGACAAAAACAGAAATACAAATGAAAAGTCCCAACATAATCCTCTTTACAATTTTGAAACTGTAATCTAAACATTTTAATAATAATGTCAATCCACCCACTGCTTCACTTGACCAAAAAAATAAAATAAGAATGCCAATCCATTATCTTAAAGTTAAATAATTTTTAAAATAATAAACTTTTCCTTGGAATTCCATGTTTTTCTTATGTAGCTAAAATTTTGCAAAACTGGGGTAAAAAAACATTAAGAAAATCCAGTCTGACAGAATTACTGAATTATTGACAGAGAGACCAGTAAAATTCCAGTCTGTGTTGAAAACAACAGAATTAGACTAGCATATCAACATCCAAATTAAACAAGCTGATTTCCTAAAGTTCAGTGGCATTAGGTCCCACATTCTATTTGGGAACATTTCACCCATAAGATTTTCTGCTTTTAAAAATAAACTTCTTCCAAAAGATGCCTGAATGATTGCTATTAAGCATATTTACAGTATAATTTGCAACACATTACTATTAAATCAATCTAATTTTAATTAAGTACAGTGTAGAAATGAACAAAGAGCAAAGAAGATTGATGAGTAATTTTGAGTAGAACAAGTGGAAGACTTGTGCTCCAGTAAAAAATGAATTTGGATTCCTAATATCCAATAATCTTTTGGTAAAAATTAGTAAAATTGATTAAATCTAAACAAATGTTCACAGACATACATACATTAATGTACCCTTCAATATGTGTTCTTTTTAATGGAAGATGTAACATGAAACTATCACAAGTAAACTTGGAACTTTTCGCCTTTTCCACATTCGGGCAAAATATACTACTGACATACAGACAAAAGATTCGATTAAATGGCAGCACCCACTAAGCTTTCTCATTCAAAAAACAGGAATATCACTGACAGTGCTTTGTAGCAAATTTGTATCTCCCAGCAAACCTACAATTCTTGAATAATCTAACTGTAGGACAAATGGCCTGATTTGTCACTTTGACTATGACATTTTATTTCACTGGCACAATAATCTCATTTTTTCAAACCCCAAATTGGCATATGGAAGGACGGCTTCTATACCTATAAGGTACTCATTTATACCTAAAGGCATCAAATCTATGCCCTCGAATCTTTTAAACCTAGGCCATATTTTAGCTTATTAAAGCAGGCATTCTCCTGCTGTTAGAGCCGGTTCCCCTTGGCCCCAGGAACAGAGAGGCAGAGTCACCGAGGCTGCAAATGGCAAAGGAGTTTATTGGCTAGCTTGAGCTAGGGTCCAAGTCCCAGAGCACCAACGCAGTGGCCTCTCCTATGAACCAGGACTGGACCCCGCCCTGGGGTAAAAGTTAAGCTTTTATACCTTTTTTTTGTTTTGCACACGACTCACAGGTTTCACACGACACGCTGGGCACACCTTCACACCTTCCCCCCTCCCCTCCTTAGTTCATTGGTTCCTTTAAAAGTGGCTGATTTTGTTGGCTCCTGATTGGTTCCTTTAAAAGTGGCTGCAAGCCACGAGATTTTCGCGCCGGAGCCAGTTGTGGTCAGCGTCGTAACGGGGAAAGGGCAGCGTCATTTCAGGGAAACCGAAACTTAGGCCTACTCCAGGAAGTTCAGCCTGTCATGGAGTCACTCCTGCTCTTATTCCCGTTTTTCATTCTGATTAACTATATTTAACAAACAACTAAAAGCAAGCACGGTCACAGAAGCAAACAGCATGAGTTAGAATCAGAGAGAGAGCACATTTTTCTCTAATCTCAAACAATTCATTTCACACAAAGCAAAGTACATTCTCCTACTATCAATTCCTGTTTTTCACTGCAAAAGCCAAGTTAGGGTAAAACTTTAACATTCCTTTTTTAGGAGACCATGGGCTGTGCCCAATGAGACCAGTATACATATATATGTGAGCAAGGGGTATATGTATGTGACCTAGGCTGAAGAGGCAGGGTTACTGGAAGGAAGGCTTCCAGGACCTGGACCACATAACCTGCCTTGCCTCTATCACTTTGCTCCAGGCCCGCTTTTCTAAACCTCAAACAGACCAAGATTTTTAGTGCGTCCAGACTTAGAAAGGCCTTCACTGACACCCAGTGGAAAGTTACCCACTCCTCCTTACACTATCCTCCAGAGTAATGTTACATTACACCACCTTGTTATTAATTGAATTACATTATTTTCCTATTTATTGTGCTTCCCACATTAGAATAGACCTTGTCTATCTTATTCATAACTGCATTCCCATAGCTAGGTCAGGACTTGGCATATAATAGGTAAATGAATGAATAAATGAACTGGTTTTAAAAACCATTAGGACAGGCTGGGTGTGATGGCTGGCACCTGTAATCCTAGCACTCTGGGAGGCTGAGGCAGGAGGACAGCTTGAGCTCAGGAGTTCGAGACCAGCCTGAGCAAGAGCAAGACCCCATTTCTACTAAAACTAGAAAAAATAAGCTGGATGTGGTGGCGTGTGCCTGAAGTCCCAGCTACTGGGGTGGCTGAGGCAGGAGGAGGATCGTCTGAGCCCAGGAGTTTGAGGTTGCAGTGAGCTATGATGATGCCACTGCATTGTAGCCTGGGTGACAGAGCAAGACTCTGTCTCAAAAAACAAAACAAAACAAAGCCCATCAGGACAAGCCTGGGTAACATAGGAAAACCCTGACTCTACCAAAAACAAAAAAAAGCTGGGTGTGGTCATCCCAACTATTCAGGAAGCTAAAGTGGCAAGATCCCTTGAGCCCAGGAGTTCAATACCAGCCTGGGCAACAGAGTGAGATCTTGGCTTTTTTTTTTAACATATATAAAGAAATCATCAAGACAATACCAAGTGTGGTGAGAAGGTGAGAACACAGAACAGCCAGAACTCTTACACATTGCCACAGGGCATGTATATTAATAGCATATAAATTGGTATAACCACTGTACAGAATTAGCAGTATCTACTAAAGCTGAATGTGTGCACACCCCGTGACCCACAAATTTCAATAGAATATATAAATTATCATCAAAAAACATGAACCAGAATATTCATAACAGCACTATCCAGCAATGAAACTGAACCAACTACAACTACACAAAACAACGTGGGGAAAATTTCACAAAATGATACTGGACTAAAGAAATCAGATGCAAAAAAAATACATACTATATTGAGTCCATTTACAGAAAGTTCAAAAACAGGCAAAAGTAATCTATGTTATTAGAATTCACAACAGAACCTAGTGTCTACCTAAAAGGAAGAAGCTGAGGCAAAATTAATATAAATAGAGAGTTTATTGGGGCCAAGCTTGCGGAGTGTAACCCAGGAGCATAGATTCAAGTTGCCTTGAATATACACTCCAATTATCAGCAGTTAAATTTTAAAGTAGATTTTTCTTTTATATATACATATATATATTTTGATGCACTGACCCAATAATAAAGTAGATTTTTAAAGGAAAAGATGAGGCAGTTTCAAAGTTGTTCACTAATAATTTACATTAAAATAACATCAGCTATTGATTGGCTATCCACTGTTTTTTGTATCACAAATTTCAGGAACAAGAAGATAACGTGTGAGGCAGCTAGGTAGGCTTTAAACAATTGCTCCCTGGCATGGGTGTGAGGGATTGAAGTCCCATGCTCTAGTCTCTCTGGGCTAGACAAATTTTGCATACCTCACAGAGCTCAGGCTTCTCTGAGCTATTTTTCTTTTCGGACTAGGAAGATGAAAGGGGACACTGCAGGGAGGCAGGGGCTTCTGGGATGCTGATCATGCTGTTTCTTGATCTAGGTGCTGGCTACGTGAGTATGTTCTCTTTAAGAAACCTCCTTGAGCTGTACATTTATCATTTATGCACTTTTCTGTATGTATGTTATTCTTCAATGAAAAGTTAAAAAAATGAATCAGGAGTCCTTCTGAAGAGGCAGTATAAGGAACTCACAGCAAATGTCAAGCCTCTTGTGTATTACTGGACTTTCTTACCCTTGACCCAGCATTTCATCTCATCTGACAACAGCAGAGAGATTCCCCAAGGAAGGTGGTTGAAGGGACTGGAAAGGCAGACCTGACTTAGCCTAACAAACGCTTTGGCTTCTAGGAGATAACCATTACAGGGTCTTGCTGTCACAGATACTGGAAATCCAGAATATACACACCACCCAGTCTAGGAGCCACACACAAGCAAAACAGATAAGGCAGCTGAAGTAAAAATGATAGCACATATTTCGGCCAGAATGACAGAAGGTTAAGCCAAAACTCTTAACATATTTATTTCATTTAATTCTTAAAAAAATTCTAGAACAATGCTAGCACATAGTTAAGTGCACAGTACACACTCAATAATATTTGCTCAATGAAAGGTAGAAGCTACTCTCACTTCAAGGTGATAATCTGTCCATTGTTACATGGGATGGCACAGCTTTAACTCAAACCCTGAATACCCAGATTCCAATGACTGTGCTCTCAACATACTGTATGAAATTGGATGTGATAATAACATATGACCAAGAGCTTGCTTTTGGTGTGCTTATTATAATACAATAAGTCAGGCTTTCCAGCCGCTGTCTGAACAGTTAACAAGGCTTCAGTAGCCTTACCCACAAAATGGAGATAACATAATCTTTTATTCAATCAATATTTATCAAGCACCCATTGTGTTCCAGGCACTATTCTAGGATTATTGAGGATTAAATGAGAAAATGCAAAATGGTAAATCCACTTTCACACTCCCTTAATCTCTTGCATTTATTTGTAAGGGACAGTGGTTCTATTTTTTTTTTTTTATAATTGATAGGTCAGGCCCAGTGTCTCACACCTGAAATCCTAACACTCTGCAAGACCGAACGAAGCAGGATTGCTTGAGCTCAGGAGTTTGAGACCAGTGTGAGCAAGAGCAAGAACCGTCTCTACTAAAAATAGAAAATTAGCCCAGCATGGTGGCGCACACCTGTAGTCCCAGCTACTCAGCTATTCCTCCCCAGCCTGAGGCAGGAAGATCGCTTGAGCCCAGGAGTTTGAGATTGCAGTGAGCTACGAAGATGCCCCTGCGCTCCAGCTGGGCGACAGAAGGAAACTGTCTCAAAAACAAACAAACGAAAACATATATATATAATTTAATGAATATTATTAACTCACATACAATCCACACAAATTTCAGAGATTTCACAAACCTTCTAAAGTCCACATATTGTCCTCTATTATGGTGAAAAACGTTTTGGAAGACTTGGTAAACCATACTCTTAGAGTGGAAATTTTTTTGGTATTCCCAGCCCACCTAATACAGCAGGGAAGAGGGTACCATTATTTATATTTTACAGACAACTGAAATCATATCTAATCATCTCAGTTTCACAAATAGTTAACGAGGATAAGAATCTCGCATCTCATCTCTCTAAACCAGTACTTTTTCCAATAGTCGCAAGAGAAGGCCCCTCTAAGCCGGCGTTAGACTAGAGAAATAGAAAGGGTGCCACTGGACTCCCTGGACTCCAGGAAAGAAGGTGGGTGGGTGGGAGCCCTGCAGTTAAGAGCAGCTCATCTGGAAAAATGAAGACCCAGGTAGGAGCCAGGCCACTTAGTCCCGAAAAACGACTTAGACAAGTCTCTCTGGGCGCAACTGCAACACTCATAAAATGGGGTAGTAACATCTGCTCCGTCTTCCCTGTAGTGCTTGTTGCACTATGGCTCAAAGAAGGAAATGAGGCACGTGCTTTACAAAGGCAATGCATAGAGAAGGAAAGGCTAAGTCATTATTGAGAGTCTCAGGACGCTGAGGGCAGGAATGCTCACATTTCTTTGCTTTGGCTTCCGACTTCCCCATTGCAAGCGCTCAGACCCTGGTAGAGTGGGAAGCCTTTTAGGAGTGGGGATGTGGAAAAGAGGAACATTCCTAAAGGCTCAGAACAGTGCCAGGCAATAAACAGGCGTTCGGTACATGTCAGCTGAATGAATCAATGAGTGAGTCTACAGAGAACCACGACCTCAGTTGCAGAGGCTCAGGTCCCACCCCCGACCCCCGGCCCACGGGACGCCACACTCACCGGGGGCCAAAGCTTCCTCAGGCTGGCCGAAAGCCTCCGCTTCCCACTGCCTTCGCTTCGGAAGCTCGGGAGATGCAGCAACTTTTTACCTGCCCCAGCTGGACTCCTCCTTTTACAGCCAAGGGCCGCACGCCGTAGCCAAAGCTGAGGCCTCGGAAATGGAATGGAAAGAAGGTGGAGAAAAAAAATTTTCGCGCCAAACGGTGTGGCCCCGCCTCCAGGCTGCCTCCCCCGTTGCGTCACCAACCAGCCCGCCCACCCGGGAGAAGGGGCCTCTGACGTACATCCGCCAGCGGGCAGCGGCCATCTTTGATTCGCTCGGCGACGTGGTTCCGGAAGAAGTTCCTTTCGTTACAGGGTTTCCGGCTTCAAGATGGTCGCCTAAACTGTTGAGACTTTTGCCGCTGTTCTCCGTCTCTCTCCGTTTTTTTTTGTTTTTTTTTTTAACCTGGACGTGACGCATTAAAGGACCCGACGGAAATAGAACTGAAGGAGTTCTAAAATGGCGAACCGTACGGTGAAGGATGCGCACAGCATCCACGGCACCAACCCTCAGTACCTGGTGGAGAAGATCATTCGGACACGAATCTATGAGTCCAAGTACTGGAAAGAGGAGTGCTTTGGCCTTACGGGTGAGCGGGAGCGCGCGGACCCCCTCTCGGCTGCCTGTGGCCCATTTCTCCTGACTGAGTACCAGTAGGACTGGCGACTGGTCCCTGGGGGTGGTAACGGAGGGAAGTATGTCATTTAGAAAAAATTGAGTGCCTACTGTGTTGGGCATTGGAGACACAAATGAAACCGATAGGGCTTTATTCTAAAGGGTGTCTCAGTTGGGTTAAGTTAGTCCATATTTGAGGATAGCCTGTTGGATTACAAACTGTTAAGCTCAAGGACCCAGATGGAATTCCGTGACATAGCCTCTCGAAGGTCTTAAAGGGCCGTTAACATGCTCTAAACCAAATTCATGGTCTTCCCGTCCTTAAACTGGGCCAGTTCTGGTATTTCCACAATTGGATCCTAATGTAAATATCAGTTCTTCAAGTAGTCTTCCGATCTTTGTTCGAATTCTGGTTTTAAATCCATGTCCTTCGATACTCTGGCTGTGGACCTTCAGCCCAAGGTCCTTTTGATCACAAGTACCTTTCTTAGCCCTCGTTTTCCTTACCTGGAAATAAGGACAATGCTAGAATTTTCCTCATGGCTTGTCGTAAAGATTAAATGAGGTAAGATGAAATGCTTAGCAGAGTACCTGGCATATAGTAATCCTTCGGTGTATGTCAGCTACAGTCATCATCATTATTATTAATACTAATGTTAAACTGTTGATGAGTAATTAGGAGCACCAACTCTTGAACTAACTCTCTCCACTTCCAGCCAGGAAGAGCTTAGCCCTAATATCTCTGAGATGTCACTCTATTTGTTTTTGGTTTTTTAGCTGAACTTGTAGTTGATAAAGCCATGGAGTTAAGGTTTGTGGGTGGCGTCTATGGTGGCAACATAAAACCAACTCCCTTTCTGTGTTTAACCTTGAAGATGCTTCAAATTCAGCCTGAGAAAGATATCATTGTGGAGTTTATCAAAAATGAAGATTTCAAGTGAGTACAATGTTGGCTAGGTAATACAAAAGCTTCAATTTTGGTAGTTCAAAACTGGGCTTTCTTTAAGAGGGGTGAACCCATTATGTCTCACTTCCACAGAGTTCCACTTCAGGTTTTTGCTCTTGAGCCCTTGCATTTGTATTTTGTCTATTCTAATTGTATTAGTCTTCTACTTTATTTTCTTGGTTTTGGTAATTTTTCCCCCAGAAAACGATTTTACTAATACATTGAATGTATGTTAAGCAGAAGTGAGTACCCAATATGTTGGTGGACACTAAATGCTCAGGGGTAAAAAAGACAACATAAAGCGTTAGTTCAGATGTGTTAGATCTAGGTTCATGTCCTGACTCTGTTACTCATTAATTGTGACCTTGGAGAAGTTACTAAATTTTCTAACTTTTATTTTCCTTATCTGTAAAATGGGGACAAAAATATTTACTCATAAGATTGATGTGAGAGTTAAAGAAGATGGTACATGCACATCTCTCTACATAGTGCCTGTTGCATGGTAAACACCTAAAAGAGGTAAACACCTCTTTAAGGGGGAGACATAATAATAGCTTAATTATGTGTCATGCTCTGTTCTAAGGGCTTTACACATAATAATTCATTTAACCTTCACAACAACCTTATAAACTTATTATCCCTATTTTACAGGGGAGGAAACAGAGGCACAGAGAGATTAATTTGCCCAAAGTCAAACAGCTAATAAATTGGCAAAGCTGGCTTCAGAGCCTATATTCTTTGCTACGATATCCTGCTGCTCATATAAAGAAAGTGTTGAGTTCCAAATGCCTACTAGTTACCCAAGTGGAGATGTGAGTAAGTAGGTGGATAAAGGAGAACAGGAAAAGGAAGGAATCTTACAAAACATTAACAGCTAGAAAATAGCCAAGTTTTGTTAGATACTTACTATGTGCTATGTGCTAGAGTGTTTAGCATTTTAAATGCTTAGCACTTTTAAATGCATTTCTTATTTAATCCAACAAGCCAGTACATTAGGTAGCATCATCTCCATTTTACAAGGATTGAGAAAGCAAGTAATTTGCCCAGTAATGTCACAGAGTTAGTAAATTATGGAAACAGAATTCAAATCTAAATGTCTTTGACTTTTTTCTAGAACCAGCATTCACCTCTGTGTGTGTTTGTTCTTGTATTATTATTAAATATATCTTACACCTTCTGTTAAATTTAGTATCTTATCTGATTCTTAGAATAATCCTGTGAGGTAAATAGGTTTTATTCTAGTTTTACAGATGATATATCTGATAACTGACCAATATGTACAAAGTTCCCACAGCTGTAAGTGGTAGAGTGGTAACTTGAACTCAGATCTCCATATTTTAGCCGTCTTTCTTCTGCTTCATGCTACCTCCAAAATTGCAGCTTTCTTATCTGCCAAAGAGAAGAAAGAAAATGTTTATCCACTACTTTCCTGATGTAAAACTCAGGAACATCTTAGGATGGCCTATTGTTTCACTGTCATGTATTTGTCAGGTATGTCCGTATGTTGGGGGCACTTTACATGAGGCTGACAGGCACTGCAATTGATTGCTACAAGTACTTGGAGCCATTGTATAATGACTATCGAAAAATCAAGAGCCAGAACCGAAATGGAGGTGAGTATGGTGCCAAGTCTCTGGACTGTCTTTTTTTTTTTTAAGAGACAGAGTCTTGCTATGTTGCCCAGGCTGGTCTTGATCTCCTGGCCTCAAGCAATCCTGCCACCTCAGCCTCCCAAGTAGCTAGGATTATAGATGCGAACCCCCGTTCCCAGCTCAGACTGTCATTTTTAAGCCAGTTTTCATTTCATCAATACCTGTGCCCTCACATTGTTACATACAATGTGAGTGCTCCTCTTCATCTACATTGTTACAGTCTTCATCCAGGTCTTCCATCTCATCAAGGGGAGTATTCATTCTGACAGCTAGCTTCTTGTTGGCCATACCAAGTCTGACCTTTCTGCCTTCCTTTCCAACAGTATTTTTTTTTTTTTTTGAGACAGAGTCTCGCTCTGCCCGAGCTAGAGTGCCGTGGCATCATCCTAGCTCACAGCAACCTCAAACTCCTGGGCTCAGGCGATCCTCCTGCCTCAGCCTCCCGAGTAGCTGGGACTACAGGCATGCGCCACCATGCTTGGCTAGTTTTTTCTATATATTTTTATTTGTCCAATTAATTTCTTTCTATTTTTAGTAGAGACAGGGTCTCGCTCTTGCTCAGGCTGGTTTCGAACTCCTGAGTTGAAACAATCCGCCCGCCTCGGCCTCCCAGAGAGCTAGGATTACAGGCGTGAGCCACCGTGCCCGGCCTCCAACAGTATTTTATGTCGGTCCCTGCCTTGCATCTCATACCCCCTTCACATGTGCTCCATCCCAAAAGATCTAGCTCCAGAATGGCTTCTCCATAAAAGCCTTCCCCAATCCTCCCAGACAAAGTCAGTTTTCCATGTTACATCTTCACCATTCTTTCTACTGGCCTCTCCTCTAGCGCTGTACCTCATACTATAGTGTATAGACTAAGTGTACTCATACAGGAATCCCACTAAAAAATAATAGTATATCCAGGATAGGCAGCTTCATACTTTTACAAAGAGACACTTTGTATGCTAAAGAGGGATTCAGGGTAATGCAGTCAAAACCTTTTCTCACTTAGTGTCAGGACAAAAGATTTGCCTTTCCTCTCTATATGCATCATTAAACAGTAGAAGGTTAAGAATTTGGTATTGTACTTTAAGCTTTTATTAACTTATTCATTGAATAAATTCGTATTGAGTACCAGTGACATGCCACAAACTGCTATGTGCTAGAAATAACCTGGTGAGCAAGATGGACATGGTCATGGCCATGATGGGGTTATTTATGATTATATTATGTTAAACTAAGACAAGGTTTCTCAACTTATTGACATTTTGGGCCAGATAATTCTTTGTGTGGGGGTTGGCCTGTGCATTGTAAGATGTTTAGCAGTATCCCTGGCCCGTACACACTAGATAGAAGTAGCACTGCCCTCTAGGTAGGGGAGTGGGGGTGTGTAAAATCACCCGTGATTAAGAAACACTGAAGTAAGGTGATGGGTATCATAGAAATTCTAAAAAGCTGTTACTCCATGTGCCATATAAGATACACATTCTATATTCAGAAACATTTGTTTTCAAATGAGAAATTACATTTCAATTATATGATCTATTTAAGATCACCCCTGCATAAGTCAGGACTGTTCGTGTTTGCTTTTGTGTGTGTCATTCCTGATCCATTCATCCCTTAATCCCTTGCTTCTAGAGGGGCCTGGCACATAGATGGCCTCATATGAAGTCTTCACTCTTCTTTCACTTTTTGGCTATATAAATTTATTTCCAGGTTGCTTGAGCCTAATGATTTTTTCTTTCAGAGTTTGAACTGATGCATGTAGATGAGTTTATTGATGAACTACTGCACAGTGAGAGAGTCTGTGATATCATTCTGCCTCGACTACAGGTGAGAGATAAAGGTCTCTAATCAGAGTCATCCTTCGTAGACAGGCAGACCTCTTAATAAGTAGTCTTCCTGTCTATGAGAAAGGTAGTGGATTGGGAGTGAGAAGAAAACACAAAGTATTTGAAGGATAGGACTTTAAAAGTGAATAAAATCTTGTGTAGGATGTTATATCAAGGATATTATAGCTAGAGTAGTTTTGAAACTTCATGAACAGCTCTTTTGAAATCAATCTTCATATAAAAAGACAGAATATAAAAAAAAAGAGCCAGGAGTGGGAGACTGAGCCCTTAATTCCTTAAACGTCCCCTTTATCATCCTGCTTTCCCTAGTGATAAATAATTGTCCATAAGCCACCATTTCAGGAATAGGTTTTATGATTTAAAAACTACTTTTACAAATTACAAAGGGAAAATAGATATGGTAGGTAACCTAAAGAGAAAGGGAATGGGCTATAGTGGAGAGATACCCAAACAGGAAATTAATTTCTGTTATTATTACAGCTGACTCGCTGTTAGTCCTGGTCTTAGTTCCCCTATCTATAAAATGGAGAAATCAGACTGCCTCAGTGCTCTTTAAATTGCCCTGTGGGACCATTTTAGGAATACTGAGAGGAGTAAGTGGACATAGCCCCATGTATTCCAGCCGGAGTAGCTCCTTTTTTTCTCTAGGTCTGCAGGTCCCACCCCCACCCCCACCCGGCACACAGCAGGAAGTGAGCAGCAGGTGAGCTAGCAAAGCTTCATCTATATTTATAGCTGCTCCTCATTGCTCGCATCACTGCCTGAGCTCCATCTCTCCCCACTCTCCCCCAAGTCTGTGGAAAAATTTTCTTCTATGAAACTGGTCCTGGTGCCAAAAAGATTGGGCACCTCTGCTCTAGGTTATATGTTGGGCTTGAGAAGTGTAATTTCATTTGAACAAAGGCTTTTTTTCTTTTAAATGGCTGTATTGAGATATGATTGACACAATAAATTATATTTAAGGTCTAAAATTTGATAAGTTTTGACATGTAAACACCCTTGATTGTCACTGCAGTCAAGACAGTGAATCCCTCCCCCTCACCCCCAAGCAACTACTGATATGTTATCTGACACAATAGATTAGTTTGCATTTTGGAATTATACAGTAAATACTCTTTCTTACCTTTTTTCAGTCAGCATAACTATTTTGAGATTCATCCATGTTGCTGTGCATATCACTAGTTTATTCCATTTTATTGCTGAATAGTATTCCATTGTATGGATATACTATGGATATACTATGCTCAGGCTGGTTTCGAACTCCTGAGTTGAAACAATCCGCCCGCCTCGGCCTCCCAGAGAGCTAGGATTACAGGCGTGAGCCACCGTGCCCGGCCTCCAACAGTATTTTATGTC